GATGGGATCAAGAACCACAGCCAGGATGATTTTCCTGCACACAAGCCAGGGATCAAAGTGCACAAACAGGCTCCCAGGCAGGCATGGAGGACCTGGACGGTAGGGCTGGGCTGGGATAACTCTCTAGTCTACGATCCTTTCTGGAATCATGGGTGACTACGGAGATCTTATCAGGTGCTGGAACCCGATGGCCTTAAAGGATTTAGCAGAAAGGCGATGGGCCTGGTGAGCTGGGGAGCTTTAGCAGAGATGTGGTGGGGAGTCACACTTGTCCTCTCTGAATTAGAAACTCAGAGACTCCAGGCTAGGAACCCAGCAGGGAGAGGCAAGGACAGGGAGAAAGAATAACAATATGTAAAGGAAAACAAGATAAGGAGAAGGACTGGGGTGGAGAGCAGGGAGGCCTGTGGGGGCAGCCCAGCCTGAAGGAATGTGGGGGGAGGGGCACAGCTTCAGCAGGGAGGGTTGGGGAAGCGAGAGGAGCGTCCCTGCCAGCAGAGCAGGGCTTTAAACCACAGGTGTGTGGTGAGGGCCGCAGCTTGGGAGGGGTGCTGTGCTTGGTACCTGCCTGCTGAAAGCCAGGGGTCTGTAGAGCAGGTGCTTCCCTCACAACCAGGAAGAAGCCCCACCGGGGGTCAGTGGGACACACTGCAGGCAGGTGAGCACACAGGTGAGCCTGGAGTCTAGGAGGGGTGCTGTGCTTAGTATCCACCAGCTGGAAGCCGGGGATCTACAGAGCAGACGCTCCCCTCACAACCAGAAAGAAGTCTCAGTGTGGGCCAGTGGGATGTGCTGCAGGCAGGTGGGCATGCAGGGACGCACACAGGTGAGCTTGGAGCCTGGGGAGCTGGCTCCAGCTGTCCCTTCCCTCCCTCGTAGGAGGCTGCCCCAGGGGAAGCTGCCAGGGCTGGGTAGGTGTGTGTTAACTAACGGGGGCTAGGCACTTCCACATCCTAAAGTGGCAGGGGGCTGGGGGCAGGTGAGATCAGTTCCTGAAGGTGGGCCCTGGCCTAGCTCGGACCACCTTCCCTACAACCACCTGTGGAGGACCACACATCAGGACCCTGGGCCTGGGGAGGCCAGGGACCCAAGGACGCTCTGACAGTCGCATTGCCAGGTCCTGGTCACCTCTTCAGCTCAGGCCACAGCCCTTGTCCTCAATCAACCTCACCCCACAAAATGTAAAACAAGTGGCACTGCAAAGACAAGGAGAGCTCGGACTAGCATTCCTTGGGGAGCCCCTGGCTGTTGACGGGGGAAGCTGTGGATGACTTTCACGCCTTAGCAGGGAGTTGTGCTTGGACGGTCCCCTGGGGCCGGGGGTGTCCGGAGGGTGTGGCAGAGGATGCAAAAGAGACTAGGATCCCCGGAGGGGCGGGCCTGCCATGCGGGAGCCGGCTGGGACTTAGCCAGCTGCTGGACCCGGCCCCAACCGTGCTCTCACCAGCAACCACCTGCCCGCAGTCACTGGAAACAGACAGCAAGCCAACAGCCAGATCCAGAAACCAGAGGGAACGCTGCCCCCAGAGAGGCAAGGGCTTGACCAGCACTGACCTCCAGGGAGGCTGGCAGAGGGAGAGCAGGAGGTTATCATTTGGCGAGGGGCAGGGAAGGAGAGCAGAACTCTGGGAACCGAGATGCTGCTGCCGTGAAAAGGAGCCGGCAGGGGCTGCTGGGGCCAGGCCGCCCCAACATCAAAGCCACACGCAGGAGGGTGAGAGGGACGAACACATCCCAGCATGAAACCATCTGACGCAACCGCAGTTGTACTAAAATCACGGGTCCTGAGTGCTGTTTTCATTTCCTTGTCTTCATTTCACACCTTTGTAAATAAAGTTATTAAATTAAAATCGGAAAACCAGGTCGGGGACAGGCTGCAGGTAGAACAGCACAGCATGCCCAGCCAGCGTTCGGTCCCATGGACACGGGCCCTGCGTTGCTGGGGGACAGCGAGGGGGGCTGCATGGGGCGCGGACCGTGGGGTGGGGGCGACCCTGCTGGTCTCAACTCCCCTCGCCAGCACGCCCCATGCCACAGTCCCGGCACACGCAGAATGTTCCAGGTGAGGATGCAGATGAAGGGGACCCACCCCACAGCCAGGCGGTGACTCCGGGCGACAAAGTACACAGGCCCACGGCTGGGACAGGAAGCCCTCGGTCAGTGGCACAGGACGGGATTCATCATTAAAGAAACCGGAAAACAGGCCGGAGAGCGACCGGCCAGGCTGCACGGAAGGAGAGCAGAGGCCCGTGGGGCAGGGGATGCGGAGGGCAGCCGGGAACAGCGCCAGGCGCGTCACCTCTGCAGGGCTGAGCTATGCCCACAGGTGCACAGTGGCCGGCCCACAGCCTCACAGCTTTTCAGAAAAGCAGATCTGAGAGGGGTCAAGTCAACCACTAGACATGCAAGTGGAAACAGCCTCCATGGTCTCCAGAACCACGCTGTTAGCTCAGGGGGCATGACTGACTCCACCCAGGGGCAGATTTTAAAAGGACCATTCTAGCAGAACGGAAAACTTCGCTGTGAAATCACCCTGACTTCAGGGCGGGAGGGACGCCAGTGGGAATCCACACCTTCTCGGACTTTCCAAAGTCAGCAGCTCCCCGAGCCCGCAGGACCCGGCGGCCAGGCAGTCCTCACACCGGCTCCTGCGGGGGGCCCCGGGCGCCCCGCCTCCCCCAAGGACCTTCCTAACCGAGGGGCGCTGGGCGGGCACCGCGGGTCCTGAACGCACCCGCCGCTTCCCGGGGAGCACCTGGCAGCAAGGGGCCGCCCTCCCTCCCCTCCCGCGTGCGCCCCGCTCGATTCCTGGAATCATATTTTTGGACCTGCAGCTGCAACACTTCCCGCCCTCAGCCCTTTCGATTCCTCTTTCGGGAGGGGTCGCTCTGCTCCCCTCTCCGGGAGGACCGAGGCCCCTCACCTCCCGCGCGGCCGAGGGGGGGCGTCTGCATTTTAACCATTGTGTTTCCTCCGCGCTTGCAGAGCGGACTCCCGGCTTCCCCGCGGGGAGGCGTCTGACCGCGAGCGCTTCCTGGACAGCCCCGCGGCGTCCCCCGGCCCTGCCTCCTCCCGACCCGCGCGGGGCTCCTGGGGCCGCCGGGCACGGGCGTGGGGGCGCAGGGCGGGCCCGGGGCTCCTGGCACCCCGAGGCCAGGCCCCGCCCGGAGAGGCTGGGCGCGCGCGGGGGGCCCGGCCCGCCGCCTCCCACCCGCCCGCCCGCCGGCCGCTCACCGTCTCGGGGTCGTTCTCGAACACCTCCCGCGCCTCCTCGCGGCTGCACAGCTCCTCCACGCACTCGCGCTCCAGGTGGCCCTGCTTGGCCTCCTCGAAGACCTGGTAGGCGCGGCGCTGCCTGGGCCGCAGGAACTGCGTGGCCTCGCGCGCCGGCAACAGCGCCGCTGCCGGGGAGAGACGGGGCCGCGTCAAGCCGCGCCCGGAGCCGCCTGCGCTCCCGGGGACGGGGCCTCGGGCCGCGGGACTCACCGAGCGCGCACTCCGGGGCCAGCAGCAGCAGCAGCAGCGCGGCGCGCAGGGCGGCGGGCCCGGGCGGGGGCGAGGGGGCCATGGCGGGCCGGGGACGCGCGGTCACAGCGCCCGGGAGGCCGAGGCGAGGCGCGGGCGCCGCGGGGCGGAGGCTCCGGTCATCCCGTCCTGGCGGCCCTGAAGGTCACATCGCGGCGGCAGCGGCAGCGGCGGCACCTCGGGCGCTCGGTCTGGGCGGGCTCGGGCGGCGGCGCGCGGGGAGGCGGCGGGGGCGGGCCCAGCGCGCGGGCGGGGCGCGGGCTCCCGGGAGGCTCCGGGCAGAGCGGGGCGTCCGGGACGCGGGTTGCGGGGCGCGGGAGAGGAGCATGGCCCGGGCGGGGGGCGTCTCCACCAGCGGGGGGCGCAGGAGGGGCCACGCGGCTCCCCGCGGCAGGTACGTTCTGCCGCGTTCCCGCTGTCGTTGGGGAGCCTCGCATCCCCAGCCCGCGCTCCCCCCGAGCCTGCTGCAGCCTCTTCGGGGCCGTCATTCTCAGGCGCGGTTTGTCAAGGCTGAAAACCTCCCAAAGAAAAGATCCACGAGGTCAGATCCCATCCCACGGGGCGGGCGAGTGAAATGCGCTGGTTTCCTTTTGTAATCTGTTTTTCGTGACGCTGACATTCACAGTCTTGGGGTTTCCCAGGAGGTATTTGAGCTGAAAGCAGCATTGTGCTTGTCTTCAGAGACCAAGACTTTCTGGCTCTTGTCTTGGAATATTTCGAAAAGTCATAGGCAGAACACAGACAAACGCACAGACCCGAAGCACGGCGGGCCGCTCGCGGGGGACGGGCCAGGCGGTTAGCCCGGCGTGCCCCGGGCGGGAGGAGGGAACTGGGGTGCTCCCCCCCGGAGAACCCTGCTCTGGAAGTCCCCACCCCGCACAATGCGCTGGAGAGGGGCAGTGAGTCAGCACCCCACCCCAGGTGGATGGCCATTTTGCCCAGCGCGCTCGACGCTGAGATTGTCAGATCGCAGTTTCTCTTTGCTTTCTGTGACTAGGAGGGTGGAATGCGATTGCTGGTAGAAATCTTTGAGGTCGTTGGTCTGAAAGTGGATTTAATGATATGTTAATTTAGGCAGATGAGCGTCCGTGGGAATGATCTTCAAAAAGAATTTAAAATGGGATAGCGAAGTCATCGGCACCTGCGTCTGAACCAGGACTACCAGGCACGCCCATGCCAGCTGGTTACCGAAGCAGGCCGAGTGAGGAGTGCACCTGGGCTTCTGCCTTGCAACCACCGTGGCTACTTCAAAAGAATATTATTGCATTAACTTTCCTGTTTGTTCTTGAGGGTTAGGGTTTCAAAAATCGGATGGGGTGATACATGCTTTAGTCAGTATTTACACGGCTCCTTAATCACTTCATTGGATAAGTAGTTCATTGAGCACCCACCGTGTACCACGCAGTGTTCAAGGCACTTCCAGTCATTTCCTAAGGGTAACAGCTGCCCGTGGATAAACGTCAAAGTGTGTAAGCTCCGAAAAATTGTTCGTAATTAATTTCTGCACATTTTTGTCGTTTTGGGGAAGAGAGTTTATGGAGCTCATGCAATTCTTAGAATTATTTGATCCCTTTAGGAATGAGCTTCTCCAGCCTCTGCCTGCTCCTCTGGGACAAACTGCACCTGGACGTGGGCACACTGCTTTGGGTCATTAGGTATCAGGAAGACCTCAGTTGGATGGAGCAGTTCCCCTGGCCTGCTATTAGTCTGGACCCCATGCTCATTCCTCATGTTCTTATTTCAGCCTTTCCACTGAGTTACTGTCCCAGTAATGACAATGGCTCCCATCATGCAGAGACTTGTTTGATAAAATGCATTCACATGCAACTGTTCATTTTGATTTCTATAACTGGGGAGTACAGAAAGCAAACCTGGGCTACAATGGAGGATGTCTCCATGACCCCAGATAACGCCAAAATCCTTAACCTCGTTATCAGTGCAGGAAATTCGCTCTAAGGTAGACATGGAAAACAAATAAGAAGCAATTTGGATGTGTTTCAAAAATGGAGAGAGTTGTCAGGCACTATATTATACAACCTGAACTAGCAATGATGAAGTAGACAGTTCACCTCCACAGCAGGCAGGAGCTTGGACCCAGGGCAGTGGATGTTTCACGCAGATGGTTAACCAGTCTGTGGCCATGAGGTGGAAAGCTGGTGGCTCCTCTTTTCAGGGGTAAGCTAGGATGAAGGGCGGAAGTGGGACAGGAGTGGGGTGTCTGTAGAGAAATGAAAGTTCTGCATTGCGTCTTCTTTCATTACTGCCAGTGATAATTCCATGGCAATCGGACCTTCCCTTCATCTGTACATACAATAAATGTGAGTTTAGCACCCGGTACTTTGTCTTAAAAGATGCTGTGTTAGGTACAGTCAATTGTGTAGTCATACTTAGCTTTTCTTTGCTTGTGTTTCAGACAGTTTTATTGAGGTGAAGTGGAAATACAGGAAACTACACGCAGATTTTGGCATATCTGTGACGTGTACACCTGTGAAGCCATCATCACAATCACGTTAGGGACTACATCCATCACCCAAAAAAGTGTTCTCATGTCCTTTGGTAATCCTCCTCCTAAATGTCCCCACTCCACCACATATCCCAGTCCATAGAGAAAACCACTGACCAGATTTATATCACTGTAGATTTATTTGCTTTTTCTAGACTTTCATATAAAAAAGAATCATACTGTATGTATACTTTTCTGTCTTTTCTTCACTTAATGTTTACTTTCAGAATCATCTATCTTGTTGCAGGTATGGATAATGCATTCCCTTTTATTGCTCAGTAGTAGTCCACGGTATGGGCACAACACAATTTATCATTCACCTGTTGAGGGACATTTTACTTGTTTCTAAATTTTTACTATTACAAATAAAGCTGCTGTGGACATTTGTGTGTACATCCATTGTGTGGACATTGTGTGCACATGTGCTTCCATTTCTCGGGGGAAATATTTAGGAGCACAGTGTCCGGATCACATGGCAGGTATGTAACTTTTTAAACTGTTTTTCAAAGTAGTTGTACCATTTTACATTTTCACCATCAGTGCATGAGGGTTTCATTTTCTCCACATCCCCACCCATACTTTCTGTGGTCACTTTAAACATTTTTAGTCACTCTCGTATGTATATAGTGGTATTTCATTGTAGTTTAAATTTGCATTTTTCAAATAACTAGTGATGTTGAACATATTTTATTGTGCTTATTGCCATCCAGGAATCTTCTTTGGTGAAGTGTCTATTTTTATCTTATTTTCTTTCTTTTCATTTACTTGGTGATATGATTTGGCTCTGTCCCCATGCAAATCTCACCTTGAATTCCCACGTTATGGGAGGGACCACTGGGAGGTAATTGAATCATGGGGGCAAGTCTTTCCTAGCTGTTCTCATGACAGTCCGTCAGTCACACAAGATCTGATGGTTTTGAAAAGAGGAGATCCCCTGCACAAGCTCCCTTTGCCTTCTGCCATCTGTGTAAGACAGGAGTTGCCTTTGTGAGGCCTTCCCAGCCATGTGGAACTGTAAGTCCAATTAAACCTGTTTCTTTTGTGAATTGCCCAGTCTCAAGTGTGTCTTTATCAGCAGCATGAGAACGGACTAATATACTTGGGATGTTTGGTTTTCCAATTGTTGAGCTGTTTGTTGAGTTTTAAGGGCTCTATAACTATTCTAGAAGCAAGTCCATTATCAGATGTGTGGTTTGTAAATATTTATTTCTAGCCTGTGGCTTGTCTTTTCACTCTAATAAATGTGTCTTTAGCCAGGGGTGGTAGTGGGTGCCTGTAGTTTTAGCTACTTGAGAAGCTGAGGCAGGAGGATCTCTTGAGCCCAGGAGTTGCCTGGCCTGGGCAATAAAGTGAGACCCTGTCTCCAAGAAAAAAAGAAATAAAAGTGTCTTTCAATGATCAGAATTCTTTTTTTTTTTTTTTTTTTTGAGACAGAGTTTCGCTCTTGTTACCCAGGCTGGAGTGCAATGGCACGATCTCGGCTCACCGCAACCTCTATTTCCTGGGTTCAGGCAATTCTCCTGCCTCAGCCTCCCGATTAGCTGGGACTACAGGCACGCACCACCATGCCCAGCTAATTTTTGTATTTTTAGTAGAGACGGGGTTTCACCATGTTGACCAGAATGGTCTCGATCTCTTGACCTCGTGATCCACCCGCCTCGGCCTCCCAAAGTGCTGGGATTATAGGCGTGAGCCACCGCGCCTGGCCAATAATCAGAATTCTTAATTTTGAAGTGCAACTTATTATCTTTTGCTGAATGGATTCTGCTTTTGGTGTCACATTTGCCTGACCCATAGTCACAAAGATTTTATTACAGAAGTTCTGTAGATTCAGGTTTACCATTATGACGGTGGTCCATTTTGAATGAGTTTTTATAAATGTTGAGGAATGAATCAAAACGTGTGTATGTATGTATGTGCTTACGGAAATGCAGTCATCCCAGCACTATTGATTAAAAAGACGATTCTTTCTCCACTGACTTGCATTTGCACCTTTGTCAATAACCAATTGATAATATATTTGTGAATCTATTTATAGACTCTCTGTTCTGTCCCGTTTATTTGTCTCTCTTTAAAGTTAATACCACAGTGTCTTGATTACAGCAGATTCATAACAAGAATTGAAGTCAGGTAATGTGAATAGGTAGTGTAAATTCTGAAACATTCTTCTTTCTCAAAGTGTGAAGTTGTTTGGTTATTCTGTTTTCTTTGCATCTACATATGAACATTAGAATCAGCTGGTCATTCTCTACAAAAAGCCTGCTAAATTTTAATTGAGATTGCATTAAATCTATAGGTCAATTTTTAGAAAATGAACAGTTTAACAATATTGAAACTTGATCTGTGAATATGATATATCTTTCATTAAGTCTTCTTAAATTCTCTCCACAGTGTTTCATAGTATTCAATGTGCAAGCCTGATATATATGTCATCAGATTTGTTCCTAAATATTTCACTTTCTTTGTCCTATTGTAAATGGCATTATTTATTTATTTATGTTTTTGAGACAAGATCTTGCGCTGTCACTGAGGCTGGAGTGCAGCAAGACAATCTCAGCCCACTGCAATCTCTGCCTCCCAGGCTAAAGTGATCCTGCCACGTAGCTGGGACTACAGGCATGTGCCACCACGCCTGAGTAATTTTTTGTATTTTTTATAGAGGTGGGCCTTTGCCATGTTGTTCAGGCTGGTCTTGAACTCCTGGCCTCAAGCAATCCACCCCCCTCGGCTTCACAAACTGTGGGGATTACAAGCGTGAGCCACTACATCTGGGTTTTGGCATTGTTTTTCATTTCAATCTCTAATTTTAAACATTTGACTTTTGTGTATTTATCTTGTATCCTGCAACTTTGCTTAATTCAATTATTCTGTTTTTTTGTAGATTCAATAGAATTTCTTCTTATATAGATAATTATACTATCTATAAATAAATATAGACACTTTTACTTCCTCCTTTCAAATCTGGGTGCTGTTTAATTCTTTTCTTGTCTGATTGCACTGCCTAATGACCTCTCAAGCAATGTTGACTAGATATGGAGAGTGTGTATCCTTGCCGTTGTTCCTGATCCCATGTGAAAATAATCCAGTCTTCCACCATTAAGTATAATGTTAGCTGTAGGCTTTTCATGATGTTCTTTATCAGGTTAAAGAAGTTCTCTTCTCTTTATAGCTTCCTGTAAATTATGTTTTAAAAATTAAGAATGCGTGTTAAATATTAGTTTTCTCCTGTATCTATTCTATTGAGATGATCATATGGTTTTTCTTTTTTCATTAATTAATCTGTAAATTACCTTGATTGATTTTTTTTTTTTTTTTTT